ACCAAGCACATAATAAGCGAATTTTAAAAGGAGTTAAAAAGAATACTGTAGTAACATAATAATGAAAGCTATAACTATATTGATATAATAATTTTTTTTACTATGGCTCATCATCCTTAGAGAAAACTTTATTTAAAAAATTTTGCTTTATGGCAGGAAAAAATAGCCTTTTCCTTCCTGTGTGTTTTTGTGCTTGCTCTTTCGGTCTTTGGTTTTCTGTGCAGGTTCTGACTTGTTCTGACCTTGGGGAAGAATTGCTAAGGTGCATAGAGAGTGAGAACGGAATATTTGCTTTTTAAGATGGAAGTTTCACTATCTTCAGTTCTATTCCCGCATTTTTGGATAATTAGAGGGTACATAAATATCCTCAGGTGTTTTTCTAAGAACTGAACAACAGTGAAACAGGATACATAAATTCCTTTTCAAGCCCCGGAGAGAAGCAGAGCGATGGTTTGACAGCTAAACTCAGAACCAAGATTTTTCTTTTAAAATGAAAACGTTTGGCTTTAGCAATGAAAATGTTTGACTCTGGGAATGGAGAGGCTGAGTGTGGAAGACAGCTTAACCTGTAGAATTGATTATTTTCAACTTGAAATATGTAGCTAAAATAGGGAACAAAGGAACAAAGCTCTATCAAATTGTTACTCAATTTTTTCCTGTGAGCTATTTACAGTACAGAAAAAGAACGTAGGGAATAGGACCTGATTTCAGGATAATGATGAACACGAGGTGTAAGAAATGGAAGAAGGAGAAAAATGATACCAGGAGACCTCCCACTCAAAATGAGCTGTCAAATGAAAATTTCAAAGATGTAGGTGAAAAAGGTCTTGGTAACAATTGCAACAAGAAAGAAATTTACATATGGCATATGTATTTTGTCTGGCTAAAATGGGAACATGGTGAATATCTGAAAAAATAATTATTTTTTAGATTTTGGAAGAGACAAATTGAGAAATGACATTGATGGAAAAGGATGATGATCTTGCCAAAACTTATGTGGAGACGATCACGTGTCAGACATTGCTGCAAGAGCTGTACAGGTAACAGCTCAGTCATTTCTTACAACGACATTCCGATGAAAAGCCCCATTTTGCACATGAAGTAACTGAGACAAGAGAAGTTTAAGTGATTCACCCAATTGAACATAAGTGCACAAATCTGAACCTTACGCAATTGGTTTCAGAAACGGGGCTCTTAACCACTATGTGCCAGAAATTAAAAAAATAATAATGAAAGAGTAAGCTGAAATTGAATAAGTACTAGTAGATTTAAAAATAATCAAAGAAAGTTTGATGATGAAAAATTTAGTAATTAGAATAAAAAATAAAACATGATTAAGTTAAAATTTTGATTACCATGCAAAAAACCCATGACTTCTCAGAATTTATTTATCTCCTATGTATGTGGCCTTGCATATCTTTTTTATTTTTATTTCTTATATTTTGCTTTATTGCACTGCAAAGAATACCTAACACTAGGCTGAATAAGAACTGGTAAATACCCTTGACTTTCCCATTATTCAGGAGAAAGCTTTCAGTCTTTTGTCATTTACATACTTTGTTAGTTCTAGGTGTTTTCGTAGGTTCTCTTTATTATCTTGAGGAAGTTCCCTTCTTTCTTTATTTCTCTGAAAGTTTTTTTTTTATCATGAGTGAATGTTGACTTTTGTCAAGTGGTTTTATTTTTTTGTATTCAGTGATAGGATCGTGCAATTTTTCTTATTAATATGGTAGGTACACTGGCTAATTTTTGAGTATTAAATTAGGTTTGTATCCTTTCAATGAACCCTACCTGGTTATAATGTATAATTTTTATGGATACTCCCAATTTAATTTGTTAACATATTTTAAGGATTTTGTACCTAGATGTTCATGAGGAATATCAGTCTGTACTTTTCTTTATTGTACTGTCTTTGTCTGGTTTTGGTTCCAGGATAACACTAGCTTCATAAAATGGATTGAGTTCTATCCTCTTATATTTTCTGGGAGAGATTTTATAGAATTGGTCTTAATTTTTTACACGTGTGGTAGAATTTTCTACTGAAACTATCCAGACCTGAAGATTTATTTGGGGGGAGAGTTATTCAAAATTACAAATTAAATTTCCTCCATAGTTATTGGATTATTCAAGTTATTTCCCATTGAGTGAGTATGGTAATTTGTGTTTTAATGAATTGATCTACTTTATCTAAGTTATAAAACACAGCATACAATTATTTGTAGCATTCTCTTGTTCTTTGTATGTCTCTGGTGTCTACAGTGATATTCCCTCTTTTGTGTCTAATATTAAAATTTGTATCTTCTCTCTTTTCTTTGGGAGTCCTGCTAAAGTTTTGCTCTCCCTCCTGATCTTTTACCTCCTGATCTTTGGCGAGGGAGCAGGCTTTTGTGGGGGTGTTTATGTCTGTCTTGCTGGTTGTTTCCAGGTTGAGGTCTTTTTCTGCCCTGGTATGGTATACATGAAGAGGAAAACAAAAAACCTAGTGAACCCACCACTGTGTCATTCCTCTGGACTGCAAATCTCAGCTTTTCTTCTTTATCTTTGAGAGGCTTATATTTGTTTTACTTCCTGGGAGGAATAGGAAAGGGATGTCTATTTTATCTTCCTAGAAGTAGAAATCCCCTTATCATTGTTTTCAACAAGAAAAGTCTGGGATTTTTTCCTTTATGCAGCGCTAGATAACTGAAACACTTGCCAGCTCATTCTGTGAGTTTTCTAATCTTCCTAGACAGGGACTGTATGAACATTGAAGAATCGGGCTGCCTATGCTTGCACAGTCGCATTCTTAGAAAAGTTAAAGTGCTTGCAGAGTTTGAGGAGTCTTCCTAGTATAGGCATTTTTACAAGTTAATTGATCACAGATGTGACTTCTCTTTCCTTGAAAACATCTTAGAGTTGGTGCAACATTGTGAGAAATGCTGTTGTAGATAATTAGGAGTACAGTATAAGGCTTGCTTGAACTAGGTAAACTTCTCTATAAGAGCTTGAATTTTTTATGACATTACTGTACAGGCTTCTCCTGTCCCAGATGTTCAGTGCCACTCAGACATAACTCTGAGAAATTTGGAATTCGGGGATACTGATGCTTTAAAACTGCCTTAAAAACCGCCACTGGCAAAATTCACAGGGCTTTATTTCGTGGTCAGGGTATTTCCAAGACAGGAGACCATATGGGTATTACAGTTTTATTTATTTGCTTACAGTGTCTTAAATGACTAAAATTATGTGTTACATTTATGAACTAATTAGATTATTAAAGATTTATTATTTTCTATTTTACCCAGGATTTTCTGGAGAAATCAATAACCTCTATTTCAAGTACTCCAGAAATAGAAGAAGATGCGTTTATAATTATAATTGTAAATATAATCAAAATTTTAAAATTGCCAAGGGGAAGAGACGCAGCTGGGAAAAACAGAGCATTAGGCATAAGAAGGTAAGGAGGGTGTCGGGCTGACCCTGGGGAGGTCTGCGTGCTGTCGGGGCTTCTGACGCAAGGAGCGAAGGCTCCCCAGAACACTTAACCGACGTACGCTGCATGTTTCCATATTTATGATATTTATGTCCATACATAATATAATGACACAATGGCAATAAAAAACAAACCTCACAATTATTTCTGAATTTTCAAATATCTGATTCTGTCTTTCAGCTGAACTCTTTATACCAATAGGAAATTAAATATCTATGCTGCTCCCATCTACTTTTAACTAACAAAAACAAATACAAATTTTAAAATCAAAATCTCTGTTAATTCTTTTGTCTGGTTGAAGGGAGGGCCCTGGAGAAGTTATCCAGCGATGTCTCTTTCTCTCAGTCTGAGCTAAACTCAGGGGCTCAATGGGTCTATTTTCAGTTTATTGTTGCAACTGGTTTCTCTGTCTGAAGGTGGAAGTTCAACTATAAAAGATGGATGTTCTGCTTGTGAAGTGTGACATTGCAACACAGCAGAACTGATGTTTCTATAGTCCAGGAAATTTAGGCCTGAAATGTATTTCTATGATGAGCGTATTAGGAGGTGGAGGGGCAGTCAGGGAAAAAAAGGAGAAATGTTACAAGTACTTACTGGGAATTCCAGCTGTCAGCTTTAGAGTGCTATGCAAGATCCTTCTTGCAGAATCTACCTCTACCCCATCCCTGTTTGCTTACCCCAGGTTTAAAATAGTGGTAACAGAGAATTATTTAGTATACCAGCTATTGCTATGAATCAGTTATGGGTTCAAAAAAATCAGACACTCTTAGTGCTTTCTTCCTTTGGTACCATGAATGCTATGCCCCCACATGCAGCACTAACACAAAGGAAAGGCTCTGAATTGCTGAAATACTTCATTACTGCCACACACTGGCTTTTTCCTGAGCAGCACTCTCATATGTGGTGAAGTGCTACCTGAAAATGGTTGTAGTTTCCACTCTGTATACTACGTAGTAAGAGGCAAGTTTCACGCATTTTGTTTACTCTGCCACCCTGACTTCAGTCGGAAACGCTGCTTGTAGGTGCTGGCATGAAGGGCCCAGTCAGTACCCAATTTGCTGCAACTGCAAGAAGATGTACAATTGTGAAGAGGGAGCTCGTAGAGAAGAAAAATAAAATAGAAAATGGAAGTGTTCAACTGAAGTCATAAAGAATTTCTTTGTTTACCCCCCACCCCCTTGGCTGACAGTTTAGAAAGCTGGATGTGTAGCATCTGGCGTGAGAGATGACTTATTAGAGAAATGCAACCTCCATTGGCTGGGAAGAGCCACGCGCAGGGATCTGACGCCACCAGCATTTCAATCACCAGGATGGTGTGCAAAGGAGGCACAAACTAGTCTTTCTCATTAATCGGTTACTGCTATTACTTTTTAAAAAGGAGGATCAGATAAAGATATCTGTTCTATCACATGAGTCAAAATAAACTATAATAAATTTGATTTCAACAAATGTTTGCTACGGGATCCTTAGTGTACGGGCAAGAAATTGGTCACATAAAGGGTCAGACTAAATATTAATACATGCATATTCTTCTGTGAGGAAATAATAAACCATTTGGGATGATCTGTCTCTCCTCAGGTCCCAGTACTATTTAGAAATTATCTTGTATGAGATCCATCCATGTTAATCTATTCTGCCCCACAGTGTCTGTGAAAACACGTCTAATTACTGTGTAAAGATACATTCGGCATGCCTACTCCTCAAATGTTTCAACCAAGACCAGCTACTCGATTTACTCTCCTGAGATGCTAACTATCTGAAATGAATGTAGAAAATGTCAGTCTAGTTAGATTGGTCTGACCTCAGGGTTCAGAGGATTTTCTGGGTTAAGAAAGAGTATATTCTTATTTTTTCTTAATTAGATAAGAACTTTGCCATCTAGTAATGAACGCACAACATTATCCCAAAAGACTGATCTAAAGAGAGGAACGCAGTACAGCGTAAACCGAAAATTAGACTTGTAGTTTTTAGTGGTTCAGTCCTTATGGAAACTCTTTGAGCTATTATTTTGTTACATTTTACTGAGGATGCGATCATTTCCCACAACAAATTCTTAGGATTGCAGAGATCCTAGAGAGTTCAGGAGCCTATCACCTGGAGAGAGAGAGGAGAGAGAGAACTCTGTCAATGCAATTCACTGCACACACTGAAAGGTCTGTGGGAAAGCGGTACCCAGGCATCCGAGTCGTATGCCCGGGTATACGGGCAATTCACTGATCCGAGGCGTATCAGTCGTATTGTGATACGTGGTGTCAGGGAGTGGTGGGCTGTGGAAGACACGGTTTGTCTTCGACTCGCTTATCCTGCCTAGTATCCGTGGGTAATGTGTCGCTTTGAAAGGGACAGTTCGTGCCCTCTGTTGAGAGACAGACCCAGGGCTTGTGGGTACAGAAGATTATACAATCTGGGGGAATTTCTTTGCAAAAATGATTCTAAAGTCACAAGTACATTATCAAATATAAGATGAACTTTTATTTATAATGAAGACATGAATCAATATAAATCAGATATTTTAAGAAGCTGATGCCATAAATATCATAAAATTCAGACAAGTAACGTGATAGTCTTATTAAACTAACTGCCTAACATATCCTTTTATATCTTTTTTCTCATCTTTTGATTGCATATTTTAATGCTTTCTTAATATATCAATGATTTCATACATTATTTTCCAATGGAGAAAGAGAGAGAGAATTCCAACTTTAGTATGTCGGTTCTGACTCATTCATCCCCATCCTTGTTTCCTCTCCAACACCCACAAACTTCCAGGGCTTGCTGACATAGGCCACACTCACCCTACAGGATGATCTTGGGCCCTGCACCTGCATGACCCGGGGGAGTGAGCACAGACGGTGCAGGCATTTTTCAGGAAGCCTTGCCTGCTACGGGACTCCCAGTGTTAACTTCACTACTGTGTGGAAGGAACAAACATAAATATATTTCACCGAATTCAGTGCCAGTGTAATCACAAGTCTCTTTTCCCTTTAGCTTGTCTGCCTGTCAGAGAGCCTCTGACTACTTCAACCTCTCCATGTAGGTTTGGTTTTAACCAATTGCACATGAAAATGACATTTTTAAAAAGTTTTTCAGAAGCTTGTGAGCACATGAACATTGTATTAGATTTATTAACTTCCTGTTGAATGTGCATTGATGTCTTCACATTTTTGGTTTTGGCTTCTAGGAATATAATATTGTTACAAGTATTTTGCCAAGACAGAACTGCAATACCATTACTTTTTATACTTTTCCTCCCTTTCTAATTTTTATAACATTTTTATAACTTAGAAAAGCTTTACACTTTCACTTCTGTCAAAAATCAGTTACTCAAAATGTTCCTATTATCAACCAAATTTGATAATAGGAGCCATCCAGCCAGTAATAAGCTGGCTGGAGAGTCAACAGTGGCCCCAGCTTCTCTCATTTAACCCATGATAAACTAGCAATAAAGTCTGAAGTAGTTGGTGTGGGTTAATTTAGATACTTTAAAATATTTTCAGTTATAGTTTTCCCTTAAATAAAAACCTAATTAATTTAAAAAAATTTAATAAAAAATTTAAGGGGTTACAAAACACTAATTCAAAGCATATATGCACCCCTATGTTACCACAGTATTATTTACAGTAGCCAAGATATGGAAGCAACCCAAATTGTTCATCAATAGACAAATGGATAAAAACCTGTGAGATACACACACACATACACACACACACACACACACACACACACACACACACACACACACACACTGGAATATTACTCAACCATAAAAAAGAATTACATCTGACTGTCTGCAACAGCATGAATGGACTAGAGGGCATTATGTTCAGAAAAACAAGTCAATAAGAGAAAGACAAATACCATATAATTTTACTTACATGTGGAATCAAAAGAACAAAATTAACCAATAAACAAAATTGAAACAGACTATAGACACAGAGAGCAGACTGATGGTTGCCAGAGTGGACTGAATAAAAGAGGTGAAGGGATTAAGAAGTACAATTTGGCAGTTACAAAATAGTCATGGGAATGTAAAGTACAGCATAGCAAATATAGTCAACAACACTGCAATAACTCTGTATGGTGCCAGGTGGGTAATAAAAATATCCAGAGTGTACTTCACAATTGTGAAGTACACAATTGTGTGACCTCTGTGCTGTACACCTAAAACACTAATACAAAATAATATTGAAAGTAAACCATAAGTAAAGATGAATAAAAAAATGTAAGGGGTGAATTTTCACTTTTTGTCTTTTAACAATCTAAGATGATGACTAATACTTCACCCTTGTTGGTGATTTCTGGAGCAGGAACTTCCACTTGCAGGTCGGAGGAGGGACCCAGGAAGGTGGTGGGAGAGGCAGAGGGACACCAGAGAAGATTGCTCTACTCCACACGGTGTGAAATCCTGCAACAAACGTCCCGTTCCCCATGTAGTATGAGGGACAAGGGTGTCTCCGATTTTTTCCCCCACTAGACCAGGCTGTAAGGTTAAGAAGGAGAGGAAGAAGAAAGCCAATAAATAAGTTGAAGATCATCATACTCACCACACACTTACAATGAAACCACTTAGTTATGTCTTCAATTATTTAGATGGTTTGATGGATTATTTTGAAGGGAATGTCCACTAGGGTGATATTGAATAAACTCAACTTTGTGTTAAGGAAACTATGGTACCACTTTAAAACTTCTGGGCACTTTTTAAAAGCTTTTACTTTGCCACCGAGCTTGTAAAAAGCCAGCTTATATTTGATGGAAATAAATAAAAATAAAATTAATTAAAACTTTAATGATGCTTTTTTTAAAAACAAGTTAGTAATTTAGATGTCTCAAGTTTGTAAAGTCTTTTTTTTTAAATATAAATTTTATTTAGTTACTTTTCAAGTACATTTTTTTTAATCTATTTCTCCCATCCCACCCCACCCCACCCCCGCCCAGTCTCCCCCCTCCCTCCCATTCCCCCCCCCCCCAGTCCTCATCTCTGTGTCTTTCATACTTGTTCCTCAAAATCCCTCCCCCTTTTTCCCCTTAAGTTCCCTTCCCTCTCCCCTCTGGTCGCTGCCCACTTGTTCCCTATTTCAGCGTCTTTGTTTTTGTTCTGTTTGCTTGTTTGTTTTATTCTTTAGCTTCCTGTCAAAGGTGAGATCATATGGTATTTGTCCTTCAATGCCTGGCCTATTTCACTCAGCATAATGCTTTCCAGTTCCATCCATGTTGTTGCAAAAGGTAGTAGCTCCTTCTTTCTCTCTGCTGCATAGAATTCCATGGTGTATATGTACCACAATTTTTTGATCCATTCATTTACTGATGGGCACCTAGGTTGCTTCCAACTCTTGGCTATTGTAAATTGTGCTGCTATGAACATTGTGGTGCATATGTTCTTTGAAATTGATGTTTTAGGATTCTTGGGGTATAATCCTAGCAGTGGAATTGCTGGGTCAAAAGGCAGGTCGATTTTTATTTTTCTGAGAAAATTCCATACTGTTTTCCATAGTGGTTGTACCAGTCTGCAATCCCACCAACAGTGAACTAAGGTCCCCTTTTCCCCACACCCTCTCCAACATTTGTTGTTTGTTGCTTTGTCTATTATAGCCATCCTGACTGGTGTAAAGTGGTATCTCATTGTGGTTTTAATTTGCATCTCTCTGATAGCTAACGATATTGAGCATCTCTTCATGTGTCTCTGGATGTTCTGTATGTCCTCTTTAGAGAAGTGTCTGTTCAAGTCCTTTTCCCATTTTTTAATTGGGTTCGATGTCTTCCTAGAGTGGAGTCGTGTAAGTTCTTTGTATATTTTGGAAATTAAACCTTTGTCTGAGGTATCGTTGGCAAATATGTTTTCCCATACAGTTGGTTGTCTTGCTAATTTAATACTGTTTTCTTTAGCCCTGCAGAAGCTTTTTATTTTGATGAGATCCCATTTGTTTATTCTTTCCTTTATATTCCTTGCTCTAGGGGACATATCTGTAAAAATGTTGCTGGGTGGAATATCTGAGATTTTCTTGCCAATGTTCTCCTCTAGGACTTTAATGGTGTCATGGCTTATATTTAAGTCTTTTATCCACCTTGAATTTATTTTGGTGTATGGTGTAAGTTGGTGCTCAAGTTTCATTTTTTTTGCACGTAGCTGTCCAGTTCTCCCAACACCATTTGCTGAAGAGGCTATCTTTGCTCCATTTTATGTTACTGCCCCCTTTGTCGAATATTAATTGACTGTAGAGAGTTGGGTTGATTTCTGGGCTATCTGTTCTGTTCCATTGGTCTATGTGCCTGTTTTTATGCCAGTACCAGGCTGTTTTGATTACAGTGGCTTTGTAATACAGTTTGATATCAGGTATTGTGATCCCTCCTACTTTGTTTTTCTTTCTCAAAAGAGCAGCTGCTATTCGGGCTCGTTTATGATTCCATATAAATTTTTGAAGTGTTTGTTCTATGTCTGTGAAATATGCCATTGGTACTTTAATAGGTATTGCATTGAATCTGTATATTGCTTTGGGTAGTATGGACATTTTGATGATGTTAATTCTTCCAATCCATGAACACGGTATATGTTTCCATTTGTTTGTGTCTTCCCTGATTTCTTTCTTCAGTGCTGTGTAGTTTTCTGCATACAGGTCTTTTACCTCTTTGGTTAGGTTTATTCCCAGATATTTTATTTTTCTTTTTGCTATATCGAATGGGATTTTTTCCTTGATTTCTGCTTCTGCTGATTCATTGTTTGTATACAAAAATCAAGTTTGTAAAGTCTTTACAAATTTTTGTATTTATTGATTTTAAAGAGGAGAAGAGGGAGGAACATTGGGAGGGAGAGTGGGAGAGAGGGAGAGAGAGACATCGATTTGTTGTACCACTTATTATTTATGGATTCATTGGCTGATTCTTTTATGTTCCATGACCAGAGATTGAACACACAACCTTGGCGTATCAGGATGCTGCTCTAACCAACAGAGCTACCCAGCCAGGGCTCAGGTTTATAAATTCTAAATGTGATTTATGTAAACTTTGTAGTACACTGGTATTTGTTGTCTATAAATAAACCTAGAAAGTATTTTATAAGAAAAGATAAACTTTTAAATTGTAATTTTCATAGCACATCTGTGATTTATGTTACTGATTACATTCATTTTCTAAAAAGAAACCTATGTGATTATTGTGAAAAATGTGGTCTCTTTAAAATGGATTTTCTGTTCTTGTTGAGGTTTCCATAAGTACATCAGTACATCGTTATTTGCTAAAGGACAAGCAGAACAGCTTTAAGAGTCAAAAACATTTTCTGCGTTGTAGTTATAGATTTTTAGGTTAAAAGTAAAAATAAAAATTTAGGAAGAATACAATGAAAATAAAGAAGTCATACCTTTGACTTCATCAAAGAAAAATTGTTTCTGTACATGTAAAGTAATAATACACAGTAGGTAGAACTGGTTTTCTTTTCAGACCAGGAAAAGTAAAGGAAAAAAAATCCTCAGGTTAACTATTCAAAAGATAAGAAATAAATACTACCATTCATAATAGAGAAAGCAAAAGAAAGAAGGAAAAAAAGAGAGCATGATTTCTTTTTTGTACAAAAAAGGAAGCTCCTGTTATTTGCCATTTGTTGCGATCTTTTCGCTTGTTTTGTCCAAAATAATGCAGCCCAAGCTGTGTTCTCCACAGTGATTCCAGTGTGACTGGGGACAATATTTCTCTAGGGAAAAGCATCATTTTTTTTAAAGAAGTGAGAGACTCAGGCCAGAAGCTGGGCTGTTAGTCCTTCCGTTTTCCGAGATGTGAGGTGCTTCTGAGTCAAGTGTGGAAGTCCTCTCTGGGCTATTCCTTGGGGTCCTGGGAGGTGCCAGTGAGGAGAGGCAGGTACCTGACAGCCCTGTGGCACACTGGCAGGTCAGGGGGTGCTGCTCTAGTGTCCTCCAACAATGGGGTTGCGTGTGTGCGTGGTTATTTCACCCAGGACTTCTGTCTCAGGATATACTAAAAAGAGTGTCACCATGTATCAGTTATTAACAAAGAGATTGGGTCTAATGGGGTTGAGATTCACTAAGGTACAACATGAAATAACATATGAGTATTGCAATAGATAATGTATAAGTTCAGTAAAAATTCAGACACAATATATTAGGGAGATTTGAAAAAAAAACAACCTTGAGTATTCAGCTTTGAGAAAGCTGTGCTCTACTCCATGTTACATTAACATGCTAAAATATTATGGTGCCATTTAAAGGTTCTACATGGAAGATCCAGAAATGTGTTTATAATATGATGTTAGCAGCACTTAAGGAAATGCAATACAGTGTGTACACTGTATCTATGAAAAATTAATTGTCCAGGTACGAGGTAATAGGTAAAACCAATGGATATACTGGGTTGGGATTGTGAGAATATGAGTAATTCTAGTTTATTATTATTATCATTCAATACTATGTAGAAGGGAGAGATGAATGAAGGTTGGTCAAAATTACAATGAAAGCTTCACAGAGATGATGATCAGACAAGAATTTGTCTTGAAGATGAATAAAAATCAAGTGAGCAAAATAATTGGAAGAGTCAGAGAGGAAATAAAAAAGGTAGTCTATGAAGGGAAATAGCCTAAGTACGTTTAGCTCAGTAAGAGGTCACCAGGCTGAAACAAAGGAGTATCCCCAGTTTCTGCTATGAAATAAGGGCAGAACTCAGTTGGCCTGTGAAGGGCATGAGTTATCTTCCAAGTGGGTGATGGGATTGACAATAAGATCATCATTGGAGGTCTGGGTGGGGCAGTGTCCTAGGGTGGCAGCTTTTTTTTAAGGGTTACTGTAACAGAGTGCAGCCAAGAGGGGGGATCCCCCAAAAAAGGGATTTGGAATGGGGTCCAGAACTCAAGGTTGTCCAGGAAATATTAGAAAGACATATAAGATGTCCTCACCTCTTACCCCCCGCCCCCCTCAGATATGGCAGCCATTGGGAGAGAACCACGCAGTTTTGGCGGAGTGCAGGACCTCCTCTAGGCCGTGTGAAAGGAGAATCACACACTTTTGGCCAGAATGGGGACCCCCGCAGCCATGTAAGAAGAAGGACGAGCACCACTCGGCTTTGCCCGAATGGTGACTCTACCCTCTCCGCAGCCATGTGAAGGAAAGAACCATGAGGTTTTGGCCAGAGTTCAGACCCCTGCAGCTTTGGTAGAAGGGGCCCACGCAGCTTTGGGGTGCTCCCTTTGGCCATATGGCCTGGGAAGCAGGAGAGACTTTGCCTGGAAAAATGGGTACAAAGAACTCATTGCCAGTAGGCCATGAGAAGGAGCCACATGACTTTGGAGTAATTAGAGATCCTGCCTGGATGGCGACACAGCTGACAGTGCCAGCTACCTGAAACACAGATGTGCGCTCCTTTTACTGAGTTACGGTGCTTCAAATTAGGGCAGGGGGAAAAGGAAGCACTGTGGGTGTCTGTGGTTATCCTAAAGGACTTTGATATATTAATGGGGACATTGGGTTACTACTTTAAGTCTGTGTATAGCTTTAAATAAACCTTTCCTTTCCTTTTCACAAATCTCTGGCATTGAGAGACGTCTTTCCTCTGGCAGCGGACAGAGGAACCCAGTAGGTATTAGTATACCATCCTTGGGAGGGACCCCTGTTTTCTGTAACAGTTTTTGGCATCCTTGGGTGGGCCAAATATTTCTCCCCCTTAGACCTCTGTTCTGTAACAATACCACAAAGTTGGTTTAATAAATTTCCTTATCACAGAATATATGTTTCTGAACAAAATAACAAAATGCATAATTTGTTATTAAAATAAACACACTTCGAAAGACAAACTATTTCCCATATATATTCTTAGAAAATTTATTTGAATGATAATTGCTAAATAATCATGAAAATTTTTTAAATCATGAAAATTTCATTTTAAGCGATGTTCTCTATAAACATGTCACTTGATATTTATTTATTAAAGAAAAAATAAGATAAAAAACAAATTTTTGTTAGTGCTCTGAAGTGCTTTTAATTTTCACAATGTGATAATCTCCAAGCATGGTGTGAGAGAGTTATTGGTAATACATATATCAACAAAGAACTCTAATGAAGAATACACACAGAACTATTACAATTTTAGTCATAAAAAGACAGCACCATTAAAAATAGATAAAATACCTTACAGTCTTATACACACATTTCACAATAGATATCAAAATGGCCTAGGAACTTATAAAAGCATGTCCAACATTTTTCAGTCATCAGGGGAATGCAAATTAAAACCACAATACACTCCAACTATATATCCATCTGAATGACTAAAACAAAAATAGTTTTTAAACTTAAAAAAATAGCTTTTGATGAGGATGTGTAGCAGCAACCTTAACTCTCATACCTTCTCTTGGGATTGAAAATGGATGTAATTTATAGTTTGGTACTACTGACTAAAGATGAACTTATGCTTAACCTGTAGTTTAGAAATTTCACCCTTAGGAATATCTAACAGAAATGTGTATATATTTTCACAAAACACAATCACCAGAATATTTATAGTATTATTTTCATAAAATCCCTGAACTGGAAGCTATCACAATGTTCATAATTGTAGACTGAATAAATAGTATATTCACACAATAAAATGCTATACAGCTATATAGCAACATTCACGGCTACACATCACTAAGAAAGAATGATCCACAACTAAGCCCGAAAATATGTAATCAATTTCAAAATTATTCTGTTGAGTGAAAGAAGCCAAATATGAAATAATTTAATGCAGTGTGATCACACTCATGTAAATTATAAGAACAGACATAACTAATCTATGGTTTTAAAATCAAGGGAATTTACTTCTAAGAGGTAAGAGAGTAGATAGAAGGGAGCATTGAGGGGACCTTCTGGGATATTGATAATATTCTATTTGATGTTCTGAATGATGGTTGCAGGATTGTGAGAAATTTGTACAAATCTTCTCTAAGATATGAGTGCTATTTTGTGTTTTTTATACACTTAAATCACTTCGAAGATGCCCATCATAATACACTGGAGATTCAAAAGCACTGCCTGACCTGGGTAGCAATGCTTCCACCATATTTATTAACTGTAAAATCTAATGAGTAGTTTTGAAATTTGAAGAACAGTGCAAGATTTTCCATGCTGAGTGATTTGCGTGTTGATCTTTTTAAGTTTAACATTAAAATGATAATAAAAAGATGTTATTTAAATGATTACCATAATTGAGATATAAAGAAAGAGGATTTTTTCCCTCATTTTTTCTGTTTTCCAAAGAAGTGGGAAAGAGTGAATGACAAAGCCATCCCCTCATCTGGAGAATTCTAAGTATAGGATGCTATTTGACAGTAACTGTGGGAGGAGGAAGGGACAGGAGAATGCGGGGACAGAGGCAGTAACTACAGACGGAAGCCCCAGGTAGCAAATATTCTCCAAATAGATTTTTCTTCCCTCGTCTTTTCTTGACGCTTTTTTCCTCCCCTTTCAAGTGATCTCCCCCTCCTCCCACTCTTTCTTCACTTCCCTGGAGATGGAGCTGAGATACTCGAGTCTCTTCTCTAAAAATTTCCCATCTAATTTTTCATCATTTCAAAGGTTTTAATAATCATTTTAAATGTATTTAAATATTAAGTTCAAGGCCATGTTGTATTAATTTATATTCATTCAAGTCATATCCCTGTGCCAAAAATTTCTCTTGTGGGAACAGGTCAATGTTCAAGGTAGAGAAAAAGTATAAAGTAAAAATCTTCATAGAAAGCTTGAAGATTATCTGAAACTATAGAAAAGTCACAAACCTAATTAACCTCCAATCAAAAACTAAAAATTTACTAGCTGTTAAATTTTAAGAAAAATTTCAGGAAAGACTCTGAACTATGAATTTTCATAATCTTAGTCTCACGAGAATCTCAATGTAGATTTATGTTTCACTTAAATAGCTGTCTCCTGAGAATCTTCAACTAACTGAACTCACACACACAAAACAACCCAAACCTTTAACACTCACCTGTGGAGACTGACCGTGATATTGAGACTGAAAGAAAAATCTCCTCTGCTACCTGGGCTACATAAATTAATGAATATTCTTTGGAGAAGATAAGGATGCTCACACTGTGGGATCCTTACTGCCAGTGATGCTTATTATTCTCATCTCTCAGTCATTCCACACAAGAGAGAAAAGCTTCGGAGAGCACGGGATCGTATCTCATATCTGGTTGCATGTTCCTACGGGATGGGGTATATGTTTGCATCTCCAATACATCTCCAACTCTAATGAGTGCTCAATGTAATTTTCACTGAGTGGTATTAGTAATACTTATTGTTTTACTAATTCAGATAGATTTCAATAAGGATTAAGGCATCTGCAAATCATTTAGAGACACATAAGCATCAAATTCTCCCGAGTTTGTGCTCTTAAATAATTAGCAAGTCATCCTCTCTCAGTCTCTAGTTCTTTTGTACATATTTAATTGGTTTCCATTCTGGAAGAATTTCTTTGGGTTTTACAATTCCATGCTTTTTTATAGGGCTTGTGGGTGGGTGGTAGAAGACATTGATAATCTTTGGTTCTATGTCAAGGAATGTCAAAATTATTTTAAAAAATCTTTTTTTTGCATCTGATAAGGAGATCTTGTAAACCCCCCACATGACAAATCATAATTAGGTAGGGAACACTGTGCTTCTATAAGTAATATCATTGACTGGATATTTAAACCAGTGCCCAAAAAGAAAGTGTGGCTAAGAGACTGAGTCCTACATTGGAAATCAGAAAATCCAGCCTTACACTCCTCTGACCATGAATGATCCACATGCAAACCTCTTGATATTCCATACCTCCATTCATTAGTGTTGAAGGTCTTTCTATCAGCCTCTTGATTCAATGATCAAACTTATGAACCAGTTGGACAACAAAGAATAAGATAAAGTGACTAGATAGAAAAACATTGTATTTATTGATTAACAACTATAAAAAGCCCAAGCTTTTTATATCTTAGCAGTGCGATTAAAATATACAGGCATGTTTCTTTTGTGTGTGTGTTTGAATCCAGTTTTTGTCTTAGGACTTTAAATCACTGCATAGAGTTTTATTTACCTGCTTGACATTTCCTCCATTTCCTCGTGTTCACTGGGCTGTTTATTCATAGCTCAGTGTTCTTCCTTTGTAAGCAACAGCCTTGTGCTCAGTGGAAAGCAGTCTTTAAATCATTTCCTTAAGCTAATGTATTAACTCCTGTGGGAAATGTTAGCAATAGACTTATTACAACCACTTTGTAAGTACACATGAGCGCATGCCATGACACAAAGTCTGAATGAGATGAACATGTATGCAATTATTTCACGAAGAGGATGGACTTAAACTATTACACATAGTTTTTTTTTCTGGAATGGTTTCCTAACCAATCGATCCCTTTCCCAGGCTAAACAAACAGACCTCTATGGTCACTCCTATTGCACATGCCTCAGAGTAGCTCCTTCTACTGTGCCATTTTGACTTCTACTGCCCATGTGCTTTACCTCCCCTGCTCCCCCGACAATAATCTGGTGCCAGATGGTGAGCTGCTTCCTACATGGGGAAAGGAGGGGGTGTTAACCTCCTTGGAGGGGCGGTGCTGCTATAAATTGGACTGTGTGAGGCTGTAGCTTCCTGGTTAAACAGGTTATGCTCCCTAATTGATTATGCTTAATAATGTTTGATTTCCTTTGCACCCTTCCTTATTAATGTCTAGCTACTTAACACTAACATCATCTCAAAAAGCAAAAGTTAGAGTTGTCATTGTCTTCTACTCTTCAGAGCATCTCCACTTTTACCTGTTTTGTATTGAGAGAAAACATATGATTGTCTTTGAAAATGGTGAAAAAGATGGCATTTAGTTAAAAGAAAAAGTTGGAAACATCAGGTTAATATATTGTGTGAAGACTAATCACTTTTCAATGTAAATATCTTACCTACGAACCAGAATATATAGAGAAATGATGATCATTTAAAATACATCAGTGTAAACAAATTTATCTAGTTGGCATGGCATTTTCAAACAAAAGACGACTATTTAGCAAATTAAACATGGAGACAGGAGCTTTTGATGCTCAGAAAGTGGAAAACGTTTGGTTCCTGGCAGGACTCTAAGAAGAGCAAGAATGACTGGGGCACCCAGATTTCATCCAAGGACACGGAGCTCCAGGGCCAGGGATTCTGAACCACAAAGGGGCTTTAAGAAATTCACAATTGAATATAGATGATAACTTCAGCTTTGGGTCTATTTTCAAGGTTTTTAAATGATTCTCTTACTGATATTGGAGGATGTGTTTAGGACTTTTTCTTTCACTATAGATTATTTTAGTCATCCGTGGTACTTTTCGTTTCTGAACATAACGTCAAGCTTAGAGTAGATAAACTTGTAGCTAAATGGATTCCCGTCTAAGTATAGGTTTCTGTGAAATGAAAAACAACCACTATCGATCCTTTCATGAAGTAGGAAAATCTTGAAGAAATCCATGTTTTATTTTTGATGCTGATTTGTAGAGACAGGTAGCACAAGAGTTATTGCCCACGGCGTGTACAGGCATAAAATCCGTTTTGCGCCCCCCCCCAAAGCCCTTTTTGATAATTGAATTTATATGGTTGAGTGGGAATATTTTAAAAGTAAGTGATGCACAATGATGTAAATGCAGGCCTGCAAAAGTTAAAAGGTGAACACATTCTTTAGTGACCTGGCAGGAAAAATGAGTGACTGTGCACCCACACTACTTTGCACGGCCTTTTTAATGTGCTTTCTCAAAGAATGCGGCATGCTTAATTCTCTCATAAGTAGTCATCAACTGTTTTACTACCTCAGTCTATTCCATTAACACCGAAACTATTTATACCTAAGATTCAAACGATACATCTCTTAGTCACTACATTTCTTTTTAAAAAATATTTTGTTCATGTATTTTTAGAGAGAGGGAGAAAGAAAGGGAGTGAAACACCATTGTGTGGTTGCCTGTAGTGAATCCAGGGCTAGGAACCTGGCCTGCAACCCAGGCATGTGCCCTGATTAGGAATTGGTTCACAGGCCTGTGCTCAATCCACAGAGCTACACCAGCCAGAGATGTATTTCTTATTGAAGTGTTCTTAAAGCATGCTGAGGATAAAAATATATGATGTCCTACACAAAATTATATTTTATTTAGTGATTGAGGTGCTTTCCGCTAGAGGCAGCTATATTCCTTGATCCTGATCACAGGAAAGTTCTAAAGTTCCCCACAGAAATATGAGACATAAGTGCAAAGTGTTATTATTAGCATGATATTAATAAGCTGCAGCAGAGAGAATGTGTCTTATTATCTACATAGATCCCTCTCTTATAATGGCCACATAAATCATTTGTAAATATAAATATAAATGAAACTGTACTTATTTTTGAAGTTTGTAGCACCCATATCAGTAGCAATAAATCATATGAAAAGCAATTCACATTCATGATTCACTTTCTGGTTCCATTTGTGAAAACTATTTGACAGTGCATACTATACAGAAGCCATAAATACATAAAATGCCATTCATGTCAATAAGCTAAAAAAGATAGCAATAAAACTCAATTGTGAAGCACTGAAAAAGTGATGGCATATAAAAGCACTACATCACAAATATCTCCTATTTTTCAAAGCATGGATTACATCTGTGAAGAATTATGGAGATGAATTATGATAAGAAAGGGATGGGGTGAAGAATAACCCCCAAATTAAATTAACCTGAAGTTATTCATCCTATTTTACAGCCACTAAATTATTTTTAAAGCTATCAAACTCTAACAAATTGAAGCTATTAGATGTCATGTAATTGCAAAGGAGAAGAGGAAAGGACAAACAAATCTCAGGGAGAAAAATTGGCAATCATAGGTTATTAGAAACATTCTAAACATTAACAAACTCCATTGAATCACTAATAGTTCAAGTAAGGATTAAAAAAAAACCACAATATTGTCTCTAGCAAAAACTATCCAAGACCTAAGAGAGCAAATCTAAGCTAAACAAAAGGAATCTACTTATATTCATACCGTCAACTTAAAAAGGAGACCAGTAGACCTGTGCCAGCCAACTGCAATCTGAGCCAGGACATGCTTCAAGGTCACAAAATCGAAACTTAAGGACACCAATCACATTGAAGCAGGCTTTGAACTACAGCCAATCAATAATTCCTTCATTTTGCCTCTCTCTTTTTTCTGCAAAAGTCTCTCCCAAAGTGCCTATCTGGGCAACTCCCCCTAACCACTTTCAGTTTGGTGCTGCCCCCTTCCAATATATTTTTTTGCTCAAATGAACTCTGAAAAATTTTAAGATCTTCTTTGTACTGCTCACATTGGTATCCTTAGAAGCAGCATCTGTATGCCAGAGATATGGAAGAGAAATTCTAAATATCTTGTGAATTAGAAAATAGTGTATATTGAGTAAACAGTCTTTTTCTACATGTGATTATTTTATATTTTAATATTAAATAGGCACACAATAAGTAAGCCTCTTTGAGTATTATATTTGGGAAACACTTTTTAAGGAAAAATAAAAATGCAGACAGTAAGCTAAAGTTTTATTAGAAATTGAAAAACAGGCACACAAATCAAAAAACAAGAAGTTTGTCATTAAGAAATATGAAATAAATAACACTTGCTATAATTACTCCAAGAACACTGTGGAAGAGAACATTTTATGATAGATTTGGACATGTGTTAGTTGGAAATTATGGCAGTAATTAGCAGCATGACCTTAGGTAGCTAAAATAAAATTTCTAACTTCTTTCTCTTAAAATAAGGGAGCTGAACCAAAAGATTTGAAAGTCATTGTCAAATTTTAATTCTCCACTATTTTACCTTATAAAAAAGATAAGGAAAAGGAAAATTCAAAAATAAACATTCCAAATGACTTTATGAGCCTCCTTTTTTGGTTGGAAATATTTATTAAACTTGTTTGTATTTTCTTATATTACACTTAATTTTAACAAAAAAAATTTACCTGTCCTCTGAGGTAGATTATATGACAAAATACTATTGTTCCTCAGAGAAAAATTACTTCAAAAACCTTTTATCATCTTAATACATGCCACGACAAACTCTACTCTTTTTTCCCCGATTAAAACAAATTTATTGGGGTGACATTGTTTAATAAAAGTATATAGTGTTCAAGTATACAATTCTATATTAGATCATCTGTATATTGTATTGTGTGTCTACCACCCCAATTCAAGTCTTCTTCTGTGACCATTTATTTCCCCCTATATCCTCTCCTATCTCCACCATTCTCCTTCCCATTTTAAATCATACTGTTGTCTGTGTCCATGAGCTTTTATTTTCCTTTCCTTAATCTTTCACCTTTTCCTCTCAGTCCCCAACCCTCTTATTCTCTGACAGCTGTCAGTCTATTCTCTGTTGGTTTATTTTGTTCATTAGATTCCACATATGAATGAAATCATATGGTACCTGTCTTCTCTGACTGGTTTATTTTACTTAGTATAATGTTCTCCAGGTCCATCCATACTTGTTGCAAAGGATAAGATTTCTTCCTTTTTGGTGGCTGAGTAGTATTCCATTGTGTAAATTACATATTGGCCTATAATTTTCTTTCTTTGTAATGTCTTTATCTGGGTTTGGAATTAGGATAAGGCAGGTCCTTTAAAATGAGCTTGGGAATCTTCTTACCTCTTGAATTTTGGGGGAATTGTTTGAGAAGGAGAGGTGTTAGTTCTTTGAATGTTCAATAAAACTCCCCTGTGAAACCATCCCATGCAGGGCTTTTGTTTATTGAGAGTTTTTGATTACTGCTTCAATTCCATGAATTGTAATCTGTCTATGAAGATTTCCTGATTCTTTCATATTTAATTCTGGAAGACCGTATGTTTCTAGGAATTTATCCATTTCCCCGGGTTGCCCAATTTGTTGGCATATAATTGTTTGTAGTATTTTCTTACAATTTACATCCCTTTGCGATCAGTTGTTGCTTCTCCTTTTTCATTCTCTTCTGCAGGGTTTGGTGCCAGCCAGGGTCTCCCTGTGGACACGCTGCTTGTGAAGCTGAAAACCCTCCACTCTCAAAGGTCGAGAGAAACAATCAGCACTCATGATTGAAATTCTACTCTTGGACAATATTTTCCTCCCAAGTTTAGCACAGTAAATAATTAATTTCTAAAGTAAATTGCAAATAGCAGCATCTTGTTCTCGTTTAATTTTTTTTCTCCTGGGAAAGAATATCCATTATCTATCTGGGCTAGAGTTAAATAACCATTCTTAGTAATTCTTAAAATAATGTCACAAAAAAAGTTAAAATGTAAAGTGTGACATATTAAACTTGATGAAGATACAGCCCTTGCTCTCAGAAGTATAGGAAAGATGGGAATAGAAAATATGTTATGAAAACATTGTTATTCACTGGGACCTGGGCCCCTGACCAGCATGGCTTTCTCATACCCAGGTGCTGTGTTTGTCTATTTACTGCAAGACCTGAACAAGGGAGTGCTGAGAGGTGACCAGGAAGATCACCTGGGTGCCAACCATATTTCTCCAGGTCCCTATTTTGTAACACATTCCTGCTTCCACCTAAAGGGTCAAAGGTCCTGCTTCTTGCCTGCTGGTCTATGAATGCAACGGCCCTGGAATGCTCAGGTAACAGCGTTATCTAATAATCAGCAAGATGCTTGTTTTGAACCCTGGTCCAAGTTCTTCCTCTGGGAGTCACAGCCTCTAACCCTGGTGCCCAGCACTGTGGGGACAATAAACCCCAGTTCCTAAGTGGTTCTTTGGGAGGGCGATGCCTGACTTCACCCCTTTGCTCCTGGACCCATGCATTCTGCTACTGGGGCGACACTACATAAAATTCTTTGATCTCGTGGATAAGTTACTTTCTGGGTGATGACCACCCGCCATCCTCACAGAGCAGCGTTTCTAAGCTGGAGTTGCAACTGCGCCTCCAGCAAAGTGTTTCAGTGCTTTGCTGGGTGGGCAGCTTCTGGGCGATGACTTATGGGCTATGACTCATGGATCCACGGTCACGGGACTTTTCTCACACCTTCTGTACTGCACAAGTGTGCTCTTTGCAGAGATGATGTTATATGAGATCCTGTGAATATGGATCAAATGTTTCATAAACCCTCTATGGTGGTGCTTGCCTAGGCCCTACACACAGAGAAGAGAAGCTCATACCCAATTGGGACGCCACTGCTGTCATAATGAATCACTAGCTCAATGCAGTCGACTCACCACCAACTGGCAAGCAGTATCCTCAAGGGAAACATCCTATACTGCGGGCTCTGCTTTGGTCTTTGCTGTTGGCATGTCAGGCATTGGGTGGTGGCAGTAGTTACTTGGCCCTTGTAATGGGGTAGGGCATGTTGCTGAGACCGTACAGTCTCCATCTCTGTCACTGTGACAACTTTACTCATGGGCTGAGTACACCAGCACTGAGGTGGCAGAGGCCCTTTTATAGCAGCTGGACAAATAATTTTATCCCTGTGTTTGTTTTGTGCCTCTATTGTAAATGCTCTCAGGTGGGAATTAACATGGGACATAAAGATGTCTGTACATTGTATCCATTCCATGCTTCTGCGCCAAATTTTCTGATTTCTTTCTTTGTCATCATTAACTAGCCAGCCAGACCACTCTGCTACTGCCCAGGTGTTCCTGTATGGTCTAAATTTGGGGCACTGATCTGTCCACAAACTATGCGAAAATCAACATGTTTTCCCAAGTTCTCCTCAGTTGTCAATGTCTTGCCAGGCCATTCATTAGTGAGGCTATAATGAAACTGCCACCATCTACCTTTCCCTGACACCCACATACCGGGCCGACCTATCTATGGCCCCAACGCTTGGCCCACTGGGACATTTCCTCCTTCATCACTGACCATAAGTGGCTCCCCACGCAGCTGAGGGGTGAACAGAGAGAGCAGGTGATGTAGCAGTGGTGGATGACATGATATTTGGAATGTCTGTTCGTGTTGGCAGCTTTCTATGTTCCCTGATATATATTGCCAGAGCGCTATTCCCATTTTGGAATATCCTCTCTCGAGGAAGCAAAGATGCCTACTAGGGACTGTGTTTTCCTCTTTGTAGCCATGTATAGGTTTTCTATGGCTACAAAAAATTAACACAGAGTTAACAGCTTAAAACAGCATGTTTATTATCTGTTTCCGTGAACCCGAAGTTGCAATTTGGGCAGGATCTTCTGCTCAGAGTCTCACATAGCTGAAAGCAGTGTTGTCAGCTGGCTGTGTCTTCATCTTTGGGCTCTCTTAAGGAAATACGCGGTTCCAAGACTCCCTGGGTTGTTGGCAGCACTCATTTGTCCATGACTGTGTGATTGAGGTGACCGTTTTGGTGCTGGCTATCGGCTGGGGGGCACTCTCAACTCCTAGAGAACACTCTCAGGCATTTGCCTCGCTCCATAGGCAGTTCCTATTATAGATTTTTTTATTCTTCCAGGCCATCAGAACAATCTCTCTACTTAAATCTCTTGACAGAGGTCTGATTATATGAGTCTCGCCCAGGATAATCACCTTTTGATTAACTCAAAGGCAGTTGATTTGGACCCTTAATCACATCTGCAAAATCATTTCAGCTTTGCCTCTTACCCACCCTAATCAAGTGAATAACTGTCTCATCAGTCTGCACCCAAGGGCAGAGGATTATACAGAGCCTGCACCTCAGGGGATTGGATCCTTTGGGGTCATTTTAGTATTATTTCCAGTACACTTGCCAGTCACATTCATTTGTTTATCATCCTAATCACTAATCTATGACATACATCTTAATCAGTCCCATGAAACTACTCACTGATTACTTTAATTTTCAGTTTCTCAAAGTGTCATATGGGAGCAGGTGCAGGTAGTTCTGAGAAGCACAAGAAAATGTTGTCAATGATATTTTTACACTGACACTTTGAGGTCACTAAAATTGTGCGTGTTGCCAACACCATTCAAATCAAACCCGTCATCAGTGAGGGGACGGCATGACTAAGACAGTTGTTTCAATGAGATCATTTAACAGATTCATACCAGTAGGGTAGAACACGTTGAAAAGTTAGAGCACAGAGTAAATACATGTTGATGCATACAGAAAGGTCTCTAAATGTCTGGAACCCACAGGCTCTGGGATGAAGAGTATGGTAAATATGATGTTTTGTCTAGAAAAGGCATTATCAGTGTCAAAATTTAGTTATCATTGATTGCAAAATAATTCTGCATTATCTTAGGATAGTCGAGTGGTAGGAGTTTTTCTTGAGGCAAGAGGGCTGGGGCTTCCCAGTGCTTGAGGTCACAAAAGTCAACTCAAATTCCCATCTCTGTAAGTACCTGAAATTGATCGATTCTGTCCTTATAACTGGAAAAATCTGGACAAACATTAAGTGAATGGCTTTCTTTGGACTTCTCGGAGAGCTGAGATTGAAGAGCAGACCATCACACCAGGGTCTGGAGAGACAGGTGCATCAGGAGAGATTCAGAGATTGATACCTGCCAGCAGCAGCTGCATCTGTGGGAGCCCTGCACTGGTCGGAGCTCTTGGAAGACCATGGCCTCATCGAATTCCCAGAACTGCCTTATCTGTAGATAGTATTATTCTCACCATCACACAGAGGGAAGAAGCTGAGCGTCAGAGTTGTTAAATAATTTACTCAAGGTTATATCTTTAACATACAAACCCAGATGCCTAGTTCTAGTGGTGTGCTGGTGTCACTGAAAAAGAAAGATCCGATGTATATTAGTAAGTTCTATCAGCTTTTACATTTGGGGGAGAATTTAGAGAAGCAAACACCAGGTGTGAAATCAGTTGACATGGGCTTCAATGAGCAGCTGGGAAATGGGCCCTGAGGAACTGCAGAGGCGTGACAGGGGGTTCTCTGACTGCAGTGAGACTCCAGATAGCCGAGCCGTCCCATGTGTGACCTCTGGCACGAAATGCCAGCTCTGTCACTGAGTCGCCATGAGAACTTTACACTATTGTCACCTCTGCCTTGGACCTTGAGATTTAAGGGTATGTGGCTCAGGGTGACTCATGACTGTCTGGTACCTACTAATTCTCTTAGTCCTGGCGCCCCTGCCTTCTAGACACTGACATCTGTATCGCTAGTTTCAATGTCAATACAAGATCAAACGGAATATGATACTGCACTATTTTGCACTTGTGTAGGACTTAGGTTACAAAGGGAGTAGCTTGCATATTTCCTGACAACTAAATTTTCTGAAGTAAGCCAGTTGGGCATGGACTAGTGTGATAGGTGAGGGGAAAAACATTTCAGTGATAAGAAATGTTCTAGCTAAAAAACCTAAAACTGCCCATTTCTGTTCTAAGATCAGTGTATTTTTTAGTAGGAGACAAAAACTAAATTTAATGGAAAAAGCCAGAGAAGGCAAGGACAGAGCACTCTGGCTGAACTGCATTCATGATTCTGTCACATTCTAGCTAAACAACAAAACTTCTGTTGCCTTTCTTTTAGCTCTAAATACTCATCTCTCCAGATTATTACCTGTGGGTGTGATTTTTCCTTTGAAGGGCAGCTCTTTCCAACTGTGAGGGACCCAAGCCTCATTTACTATACCATGGAAAAGTAAATTTCTGGAGGAAAAAAACAATCGGCCAATTCTTAAAGAATAGAAAAAGCTTTTTCATAATCTTTTGATTAGTGAAGCACTAATGCAACATAACTAGTAACATATTCACCAATTTAGTTTAATTTCAGGTAGGATTAAGACAGCTGTTAGGAAATATGTCATGGGGCAGAGGAGAAAATGATTAATTGCCAACTGAGAGGCATCAACCATAAGTTTTAAAAGAATTCTGATAAGAAAAAGAGGTCTTCAGTCTGTGCTGGTCGGGCCAGGCTTTATCCCAGGTACACAGGGCAGCGGGGTGCTGGCCAATGCTGGCACGGTGCTCCACTGAGAGAACCTCAGATGGCGTTCCCATAGAGGTCGGTTTCATTTAACCTCCCTCCTGGAAGTATGATGAAGAACACTGTTGGAGGATATTTCCAATTTCCGTTTAAGTGGAAGAAAGTAAGGATGATATTGTAAGATACTTTTTTAAGTAGTCCAAGAAACATTGGAATGTAATTTAGCTCAGATAAATGCACACTCTTACCTAGAAACAAAAAAAAATGTAGAAACCCAACATTTAATGTTAAAATTAATGTATCTTAATGTTAGACACACTAAAGGCTTACCAAGGTACTTGGCTGATTGAAAACAATGTTTTAGTGTATTTGAGCATTCAGTAAGAGGTAAGTTTGTAGGACAAGGACAATGGTAAAACTTTACAACAGTTGTTCATTACATTTTCCCTTAAAGTATGTTTGAAAGATATAAGTCCTCTCTTTCAAAAATATTGTTCTAAGTATATACATATGCAGATTTTATTCAGTTTTGAGGTTCACTGTTCCCCTGAATTTCACTGAAGTGTTCAGGGTAAGAATCCCTACTTTAGGCCTTGGCTGGTGTCGCTCAGTGGGTTGAGCATTAGCCTGTAAACCAAAGGGTCACCAGTTCGATTCCCAGTCAGGGCACATGACTGGGTTGCAACCCAGGTCCCCTGTAGGGGAAGCACAGCGGCAACCTCTACCCATTGATGTTTCTCTCCCTCTCTTTCTCCCTTCCTTCCCCCTCTCTAAAAATAAATTTAAAAAACAGTCCCTACTTTACATAAATACTTGTAACATTAAGTATTACATTTGGTACCAATTATCTATCATTATAAATTACATCTTGACACCTTGACCCTGGGTGTCACTAATTTTAGGTCTTAGGTCTTGCCTCACAAGAAAGGGGATATTTTGTGATGCTGAACACTATGACTTTTTTCTTTTACTGTATAGGACTTTATTGTATAGTACTAATTTTTAGTGATTATTTTAGTAACTTAAGAAATGTACCCTGAGACAGGTAAGAAATTGCATTTTGTGTTTTCACTACTGATAGGAGTACAATGCTTGTACACAGATATGGCTTGAAGGATGTTGACTTTAGTGCTGGTCAGTCCCAAATGGGTTCTATGAACTGTTAAGGGTAATTCTAATTGGCAGGTGTTCTGGAGCCAGCTGGTTCTCTTCTTATTTGCCTTCCTCTTTCTGGTCCCCTTTCTGCCTGTGGCCATTTTGATTTTCATATCAGAACAATTCTGTGATGTTCCCACTGTCACAGATTGTGACAGAGCTTAGAATTGGGTTTCTTTCTATGGTTAATTTGCCCAAGGTCATATGGCCAGCAAGTACTAAGAACGATGAAGTTGTAATGTAATGTAATGTAAACCAATTTTTTTGACAAATTCTATTTTATTAGTGTTCCTGTTTATATTGTTTGTATTGTTCTTGTTGGGTCTATTACTTTTGGATTTTGTTGTTCAGATGACAAAACCAAAACTTTTATCTTTTATCTTCTAAACATTTCTCCTGCTTCAGAGTCTATTTCATTTTTTAAATGCTCTGGTCTCATACTTTCATACCCTATAGTAAAATAAAAGAACCCAGCACAGGTAGTAGGAATAAATCTGGATAAATAACCAGAAGACATAAACTTTGATTGAGTTCTGACACCTAATAAGATCTTTTTAGACCAGTCATTTTCAGCCAGTGTGCCTCAAGAATTTTTAAAACATGCAGTACCTGGCTACTGAGTCAGGGCCACTGACCTCTTTTCCCTTAGATGGTCAAACAAGAAAACGGCAACAGCCAATACAACAATAGCTGCCTGGTGTGAATAATTCAAACTTATACCTATTTTTGTCAGATTGGCAAAAATATATATCTTTTGGTGTGCTGCAGAATTTTAGTAACTAGTTTATGTGTTCCCTGAGATTAAAAAGGGTGAAAATCATTGCCTTAGACAGTTGTGTTAACTCAGACCTGCAAAACACACAACATTGTTGAAAGTATAAAGGAGATCAAGTATGTGAAAGCACTTGGAAATCAACAAAGTGAAAATCATATTCAAGGGCATATCATTGTATAATAATGATGATAATTGAATAATGTTTTTCATGAAATGTTTGGATGTGTGTCTTCCCTATGGTAAGACACTTTGGTATGTCTTCAATATTTCATTTGGAGCCAATAGTAAATTTTAACATTTGCTTGGCTAACACTGGGGATGAATATTCAGAATCCTTAATATTCTGAATGTTAAGGATACTCTGAATTGAGAAGAAATTTGCAGTCTAGCGAGGAAGATAGTTTAACAAGATATTGTAATAGAAGTGAAGTGTCCCCAGAATAGTAGCTTATCCACCTGCTACAGTAGTCCTGTTTCTGCTGGTCTCTGACTTCTCGCCCTTGCAATAATCCCCCGTGCTGTGTGCTCTGGTTTTAAAAGAAGGAGGCTGAGCTGTCAGAGACCATCTGTTAATTTTGCCTGCCCAGAATTCTGTCTTCATTCTTCCAGGACCACATTCTCTCTTGCTCCCATTCCTTATAATGATCTTTCTGTAAAGTATTAACACGACCAAAGACACGCGAGTCAGAATCTTACCTGGCACTTTACGACAAAGCAAGTGGAGAAGGCCAACTTCACTAGAAGTAATAACTGAGTCTGAGAAAGCCACGACCTGCTGGGACCCCTTCTGTCACCCTGAGAAGAGAGAGACTGCCTGAGAATGATGTAGTCTCACTTTAAGCAGAGCTCATACAGGAGACAGCCAGCTACTTGTTGAACTTGTTGAAACCTCATTTCTCAGCCATACCTGAAGCTAGCGTCCTCCTCTGAATTTTCCCCTTATAAAACCCATCCAATTACTTTCTTATTTTAAACTAAATTGAGATTCTGTTATTTTCAACTGAGTTTTACCACTATGATATTATAAAATCTTCCTGTGACTGTCCCATTTCTACTCCTTCCAGAAAGATTCTTCCAGAAAGAAAAGAAAGATAAAATGGGTCTTTGGCCCTATAATGTATCTGTAATTAGAGCAGGAAAAAATGGTCTACTGGAGTAGTAAATCTCGATACATATTATAGCATTTTAAAATCTATACCTAGTGATTTTCCTTCTCGTTCGTATTAGTTGTCCAATATACCTAACCCTATAATTAATTGAGCGCATTATTGATTCTTTAGGCAAAGTACAGAGAATTCTGCAAGTGTAGGCAGTGCCAGCAAGGCTGTAGCTGCCTCCAGCAATCTTGCACTTGCTCCATTGTTCACCCTATTTTATGACTTTGAGCTTCTCCTAGAGTGAGTTGGAGATGAGATCAGAAGAGAATGTGGTTTTCGCGGTACTCCTAATAAATATCCCGCTGTCAGTGACTTGGTTTTTAGAGTCAAATGTCTCATATACCATTTTTAACTCCTCATTTCAATTTTATTTGTTATTTTATATTTAATTTAATCAGTTAGTTAATTTAGCCACTGATCCTAGTTAATATTAATAACCTGTCATCTCCTTTGGTGTTTTCTACCTTTCAAGATCATTATAAATTGGTTTAGTTTGAGTTTGGGAATCCAGTGGGAGGTGATTATGCAGGAGGAGCTAACTCAGAGCTTTTGGAGGCGCAGCGGGCTTGTGTGTCATAGCTCGAGTTCAGGCCTGGGTACGTGACTGGGTTGGGCCAATCATAGCTAACATGTTTTCCGAGGGAAGATTCTTTTTACTTCCCTGTGGATGTGAAGAAGGATGTGGGTAGCCCAGGACCCTGCTGACCAGGGCACCACAAGGCGGAGAATCTGCCTGAAAAAGAAAGCACTGACACAAGACAAAGAACCAAGAAATGGGAAGAGAGAAACAGAATCTTTGTCCCAGTGTTTGAGTCCTTGGGGGAAAAAGGCCTGAAATCAGATCTGATGCTGGGCGTCTCAGATCCATTAGCAATAATCCCGCTTGCTTTCAAACTGTCATTTGCTGATTGAATTTTCTGTTACACTGAAAGCAACCTAGATGAATAGTTCTGTCTGCATAGAACATTAGCTTTGCTATATTTGTGGATGAGTTTTCGTTGTGTGTATAATCAACATCCTGGGGTTACCTAGGTTTTTTGAATATGAATTAAAGAATATGAAAGGGTCAGAAACTCTCACATGTACAAAAAAGAAAACAAAAGAAGTAAAACAGAAATTCTCAAAGCAGAAGAGATGAGTGACTTTAAAGAAACTAATGGGAGAAAATTGTCGAAATGTTTTCTCACAGCCAAGACCAGAGTCTCACAATGTGTCTGAGAGTCCCCACCTCAGGCAATGCCCACCTGTAGCGTCATAGGAGGTCCCCCAACAGTGTGTAGCAGCTGCCCCCTGAGTTTTTCAAGTGTCCTAGGATAAGCTTTAGAAGGCGAACATTCGTCTTGATTTCTGGTTCGGTGGATTTTTCACTATTTTTATGGCCAAACATGAATGCCCATGTTAAACATTAGAACACGTAACATGTGTGGATATTAATAAAAGTTCTATGTAAATACAGTGGTACCTCAGTACTCGTTGATTTGTTCTGGAACTCGTGATGAGTGGTAACACCCAGGAATGTCTAACAGTGAGGCATTTTCTCTTGCAGGGTGACATCATGACTCACACAAGTTCTAGCAAGTGCCGTGAGTCCTGAGCAAGCGTCAAGCGCTGAAACATTTTTTTTTCTCTTCAAAAAAGTGATGAGTACAAGGTCTGATGAAGCCTGGCAGTACCGAAGTGTTGTTGGGTAGCAGCTGGGAGTGAGCAGCCAGAGGGGAAACAAAGGCAGGGCCCTCACCGTGACAATCTAACCAAGACAGGAGACTGGAAGCAAAAGGAAAATATGTCTCGCCAATTGACTCAGCTCGGTTTGATAAAACTGTCAGGTGTCCAGAGCACTGCAAGCAAAACAGGTAGAAGAAGGGGAGAGGCTTTGAGCCTGTGCTGAGAAAAGAGGCTTCTGTAACCATCCTACTAGGACTGAACATCTTAGTGTGGTCTGAACATCACAAGTGGGATTACACAGGAGAAATGGGGGCCTATGCTGGGAAAGGGGCCTCTGAAACAATTTCACTAAGACGAAGAATCTTCACTGAGAAAGCCTTGTATCTGTACATTACTCTCAAGGGAAAAAAAGGAAGGGAAACTAGAAGGCAGCTGAGGTATATAATCCCTGAACCCCAATAGTCAGCACACTTAGATTAGCTAAGTACGCACTTGTGGCCTCAGCTCAGTTTATAGAACAAATTAATTTATGAAACAAACTTGCTACAAACTTTCTTTCCTCTATTTTGTGGGGCATTTAGATTAGTGGGGTGCCAGCTTGCAGCTGCATGCTTGTACGTGTTTCGTAAACAAGCGTGCCATCTCATGTGTACTGTACATGTTTGTGCCTCGCTTGAATCACTCTCTCGCTGGTGAGATGAGAACGCAGACCAGGAGAAAGGCCTCCTGACTTGCGTCTCCCGCTCGACTGCAATGGTGTGACTGTAATTCCACGATCCAGTTTCTAACTAAAGTGGTTAGAAACTCCTGTGAATTTTGGCTCATTCAGAGAGGTCCAATCGGGAAGTTGAAGTATGTTTCCAGGGACTGTTCCATGACTCAGAAATGTTTTTGTGATGACTTTCTTTGGGAACTGCCTTCATAGACATACATATTCTTTTACTTATTGCCTATGGCATTTTTAAAAATTGAGAATGGATTCATTTATGAAAACAGGTGAAGTTTTACAATGCCAGTCTGGTGAATATGGTGACATGGTAGGGAATTAGGTTCAGTAATGGCAGTTTTCATGACTTCAGACCAAAGGCTGAACTAAAACTGCGAGGGAACACAGCTCACGTGAGCATGTTGTGTTCACTCCTGATCTGAATGAGAACGAATGTCGCCCACCATAGCCACACAGAACAGACCAAAAACACACCACCAACTATCTCACTCCCTGTAACAGCAGGCTGTACAATTATGAAATCGGTCCTTGGGTGTTCTAAGTTTTTGTTCTTTACACCTATCCCATAAAAATGTCAGTCTCTATCCCTGTGTGGGTGGTTGCGGACAAAAATGTGCTGTATTAACACATTATTAGGGATATAGTTAGGCAAATGTGGGTGGGGGCGAGTGGGAAAAGAGAGGGTTATTGGAACAGGAGGGTTGTTGTCTCTTTGAGAAATCCCAAATCTGATTTGAAGCTTTGCCGCTCCCCATTCTCTTCTGGCTGAGAGGCCGAATGGGCCTTCCTGTAACAAAGGCTTCTGGCTCTGCTGGGGAGAGAGGCCGGCCCGATTATTCGTAAATAACAGGACTGATTGTATCTCACTTTCATGAACTCAAAGGCTCCCTCCAGACTCTGCTTTGTTCACTCGGAGGGATTCATTGCTTCCCATTACAAAACCTTTTTTGTTGGTGATAACATGAGTACCTGCAAGAAATAAAGCCCCGTGACTATCTCTGGGGCTTCATTTCCGGGGACTGCTGCATGCTTTCTGTGGAACACAAAAGGAAAAAAAAATCGAGTGACTTTATTCTTAACAAAGAAAAGTCTTTCATATTATTCCCCCCTGAAGATTTAGTCATGCTGCTTTCTAAAAAGATCATAAATGCCTTGGAAATTAAAATATCGTGTGGAATGGTAATGGAAAAAATACAATAAAGGTTAAATTAAAAAATATTGTGTGAAACGAGACATTCAAGGCTCAAATAGATGACAGCCTGTTTGAAGTAAAGAAAATGCACCTCACAGTGTTTAGGCAATAATGAGTTTGGGTCTAAAACTTTTGCCATCTAAGGTAAATAAGGATAAACTATGGACTACGCACATATTTTCACTAGTTGGCTAAAAACGCATTCACATTCATTTTAGTGATAGGTGTTTTTTTTTCCTTAGGGTGATATTTGGCACCCTTAATGGCAAAAAATTGCCATTAAGCAAGCTCCTTGTTTACAAAATTATGAATACTGTGCTGTATGAATAGCTAGAGAACAAGGACTATGGGAGCAGGAGATACATTCTTTATTCTAGGAAGAAAAACTTGGCACCGCGACTTAACGTGACTTAAACCAATGAGGTGGGTCTTGATGGGAACAGGGGTGCTGCTGAGTACTCCAACCACATCCTTAAGAACACAGCTATGTACGCTCCCCACCCTGCCCCGGCCCCGCCTTTTTAATTTAACGTGTGAAAAAACAAACAAACAGAATATCAAGTAAAACAAAGCAGAAAGAAGAGAGTTTCTTGCAAGGGTTTTTGACTTGTAAGCTGGGAAGTTCAAGTCTGTAGGTTAATGAGCTACGAGTTGCTCAGTCCAAGGGACTTTTATGGGATAAATACAAAAGCGATTTGGCTTTTTCCGTTGGTTGCCTAGTGGTCTTCTTTTGTATTTGGCTGAGGGTAGCTGAATCGGGGAAACCAGAAACCCAGGGATGACGTGAACAGACTCTGGGGACAGGCTGGCCTCCTCTGCTGGTGTCTGAGCAGAGCTGTAACCCCTGTTAGGGGAGGTTAAATGTTGGTGACCGTCTCTCTACTTTGTCCCTGACATCGGGACTCCATTTCTGTTTGGTTCCACAAACATAACTAATCCATAGTTCTAATTTTATGCTCTTCAATTGATTTCTAAGTTTGATTATTTCAGAAAATTTGATAATAAGGCTTTTGTGAATACAGAGAAGTACGTGGTAATTATTTACACATTGCCCTGGTTGATTAGTAACAGAAATGAGAACAGAAGTCAGATTTTCTTGGACTTTGCTCAGTTTCTGAGAAAAAACAACTTGCTGGTATTTTCAAGTCCTTTATCTGAAATGTTATTGCCTCCTGAGCTTTGTGTACTTCTCAGGTAGCATTTTTTACTAAATCTCCTCTCTCTATGAGAAAGAAATTCAGAGAAAAACTTGCTTGAGGCATTCCTCTAAGTAAAACAAGGACAACCAATTTCTTTGTGATTTTCCACCACATTCTTTCAGGGGTTTGAATTGCATATAGTAAATATATATACATATATATATATACATATATATATATACATATATATATACACCTGACAATAAAATAGTATCCAGCATACATTGTATAAAGAACACTTACAGTTCAACAGCAAAAAAATAGTAATAATGAAAAATTGGAAAAGAACTTCAACATGCACTGAACAGGAAGAAATACATAAATGGCAAATATGTACACGGAAGGGTGTTCAACATCATCATTCATCTGCGGAATGCAAAGTAAAAATCTGATGAGGTAACACTTCACACTCACCTTAGTGGCTAAATAAGAGAAAAAGAATGACAACAACGACTGGTAGAAATTATGTGAAGCATCTGAAACTGTCCCCTATCGTTGGAGGGAGTGACACATCGTATAACCATTTCGGAAATATTCTGCTAACTTCTTATAAAATCAAACATAACTGTGAGCCAGCAATTACACTTCTAGATCATTGCCCAAATGAAATGAAAAAGAGTTCACAAGAAAGTTTTTATGTAAGTGTTCATAATGGTTTTATGCTCAATAACCAAAAACTGGAACTGCCTTGAGTACCCAGCAATGGATAGACGGTAGCATTATCGTACAATGGAATACCATTTACGAGTAAAGAGAAACCACCTAGTGACTCACAGAAAGATATAGATTAATCTAAGATTATTACCAGAAACTTTATGAAAAGAATACAGATTGCATAATGCTACTTATTGGACGTTCCAGACAGCATAATTAATTTATTGTTGGAAACCATTGAAACAGTTGCTTCTGCAAAGGACAGGGAGGGGATTGACCCTCCCACGGGAAGAAACTTTCTGGGGTGTCGGAAGTCTTCTATATCTTGGGCCAGATTACATGATACAAGACTATGTTAATGTGTAAAAGTCGTTCCCTAAACTAATTTCCATGTGTGCAGTCATAGATGATGTTCAAAGCTGGATTTCATTCACAGCTGTTCAGTAACTTTAGACAATTTTTAGGTTTCCTAAAGTAAGTCATCATTCTACATTTAAGACAGTCAGTTCATCCCACACAGAGAATGTTAAACATGGGTCCTTTACTTGAATATCACACAGCTTTCAACTTCATGGTTAAATGCGTGCAAAAGAATTGTCAGTGCTTTGAAACAATGAAAGAACTGGGTGGAAATGACATCTCATTAAGGGAAAGGAAAGGGGGTCAAAATATTGTGATTACCTCTCTGAGAAACTCGAAGGAAGAGGAGAGAAGGGGAAGAGAAGCTTGAGTCCGTTTGGAGCACATTTGAGGCCGTGGTGAGCATGTATGTGGGTTGGGACGCTCCTCCTCCCGCTCGGCGGTCTTCCTTCTACCATTTAGAATTCCCCGCACAGGAGAAAACCTTTGGGGTCCCCCTGTCTCCCATTTCCTTATAGAATGGTCCTGTAGAGTGAAGAAAGAGATAGTGAGAAGGAAGAAAGAAAATCTCCAGGGTTCTCCAACTAAGCATTTTTCTTTTTTTATCCCCTTGACTACACATTTCCCATAATTGTGCTGTAGTTTTGCGATTAACATATGGTATACAAAAAAATAGTAGGAGGAAATTACTTCTCTATTGGTGCTATTGTTTTGCATGCATTTTCAAGAGAATTATTGAAATGCTCCTTTTTAAAAAAAAGCATTGTGAGTAAACATCAGGAGGAAAAATATTTTAACATTTATTCCCTAAATGCCCCCAAGGACTTGAATGTTTTATTTTATTTTATTTTTTTCTTTTACTTAATAAAGCTGGCACAGGATAATTTTTCGACAGGAAGCAATTTTTTTAAAGATTTTATTTATTTATCTTTACAGGGGAAGGGAAGGAGAAGAGAGGGAGAGAAGCATCAATGTATGGTTGGCTTTCTTGGGTCCCCTGCTGGGAACTGGCCTGCAGGGAATTGGCCTGCAACCCAGGCATGTGCCCTGACAGGGAATCAAACCGTGATCTTTTGGTTCGCAGGCCCATGCTCAATCCACTGAGCTACACCAGCCGGGGCCCCAAAAGGAAATTATTTTAATTGTACAAAGTGTAACTCACTGAAATGAATAGCAGGTTTCCAGGTACAGACCGTGAAGAAGTAGGGTGTGTTTAACAGACCTCCCAGCACTGCCAGACTTGGGGGATCTGCTCTGTGGGCCAGTTTCCAAGTCAGCAGGACCGACCACGTGCAGGCTGACTGTTACACATTGCCAGTGATGCCGATACAATATTCCTGCAAGGGAAAATTAATGAGTCAGCAACAAAATCCCACTGGTTACTTTAGTGACAGTCACTGGTTAGTTTAATAACAATTATCTTCCTACAGTTATATCTTGGGTAGAGACAATATAAGGCCCGAGTATATACAATGACCTCAGCTACATTTCCTAACTTAGTTTTATGTATTATTGTTTTTTATGAAAATAACTTTTTAGTTTTACTCTTACCCAAGTATAGTCCGTTTTATTTGTTGTGAATTTTATCCAGTGGAGCATTTGAAGGTTGTAAGAAGCAGGTGTAATGCCTGGCATTGTGGGACCATCACACACCACAGCACAGTTAAGATCCCGGTAGCACAATTTATATGAGATATTATTGGTTCTCAAGGATGAAAAGCTAAAAACAAAAAAATATGTTTTCTTGAACCAAGCTTATTCAGGGCAAGTCCTTAGAAGGCAAAGATAATACTCTCGCTTTGTATGATTTACTTTGTTATCAAGAAATTTCATACCTTCTAAAAATGTTTCCTGCGATTACTTTGAAATCTATCATTTTAATTGCTCTATTTTTTTCTGTATGGCATAACATTGCTGCTAAAAAAGACATTCAAATAAAAGAGTGCATGTTTTTGTCATTCATTTTTAAAAAGGGGCAGACCTCCATGCATTGAGTTTCTGACATGCTAAAGATATAAACAAGCAACTTTTGGAAATGTTAAAGCACTTAAATCAATTCAATAGCATAAAAATTGGTGTGTTTTTCTGTTTCTCAGAAAAGTATTTTCATTTTAAATTAGAATAACATCTGAGTGAAAAATTATATTTTAAGATAAAAAACGATCATTAGGATAAATTCAAAATATTTACCAATTCTCTTGCCAGAATATTAAATAAATGTTGATTATGACTAAGTAGTTCTTTTATAAAAACAATGATTTCTATAAAAGCAAATTTAAAATATTGCTCAACTTCCTCTTTTAAGGGGCAGAGTGACTAATTTTTAAGTTAGTTTAGGGTCCAAGAATGGTGTAAATTTCTGTAATTCATTTTTTTCATGCTATAATTTCACCAATCATCAAATCGAACCATCATGGTCATTTATTCTATAAGTTAATGAAAAAATGTCTTCTTCGATGCCAGCCAAGTTACCTAGGAGTGTAGTGATGGGTGTCACATCCTGCAAAGTTTGGCAACATCTGTACTTACATACAAAAAGAAAGTTGTGTGCCATGAAAAGTTCACGTGTGCCCGGCAGACACGAACACTTGATTTGGCAATTCTGAGGCAGGAGATAGTCAGGAAGGAGGAAACTCCGGAGGTGCCCCAGGGCTAAGACAAAGGACATCAATACAGGACAGAGACCCTATTCTAAGACCGGTTGTTCCTGTTTTCTGGAAAAGTGCAGAAT